TTTCACACACACAAAAAATTTTAAATCCACTGAAATGTACATGTGTGAAACATATTTTTTTTTTAAGATTTTATTTATTTATTTGACAGAGAGAGGCACAGCGAGAGAGGGAACACAAGCAGGGGGAGTGAGAGAGGGAGAAGCAGGCTTCCCGCTGAGCAGGGAGCCCGATGCGGGACTCGATCCCAGGACCCTGGGACCATGACCTGAGCCGAAGGCAGACGCTTAACCGACTGAGCCACCCAGGCGCCCCTGTGTGAAACATATTATGTTTTAACCATCTTCTGTGTTTTTCTTTTTTTTTTTTTTAAAGATTTTATTTATTTATTTGACAGAAACAGAGATAGCGAGAGCAGGAACACAAGCAGGGGGAGTGGGAGAGGGAGAAGCAGGCTTCCCCTCGAGGAGGGAGCCCGATGTGAGACTCGATCCCAGGACCCTGGGACCATGACCTGAGCCGAAGGCAGACGCTTAACGACTGAGCCACCCAGGCGCCCATCTTCTGTGTTTTTCATTCCTTTCCATATGGTGTCAAAGGTTCTCCCCACCTTTCCTATAATGCTTTTAAAGGTAGAGGAAAACAGTTATATCCCCAGTAAAACAGAGAGGTTCTATGGATCCTGATCACCTTTCTATTGTATATCAAAGCTATGTTTCTGTTGAATGATCTCTTGTTACCATTTAACAAAGAAAACTCAAGGAGCTTAGGGAGGAACTTCTCACATACCCAGGGATTACCTCAGAAGTTCAAAGTCTGACCTCTCCACCCCCAACAAAGCTAGTTAATGTCAGCGACTTAAAAATACTGCTGCTGCCAAATTACCTGGAAGAAAAGGAGGAAACATTCTTTCTCCCCTAAATAAAACTTTCCCAAGTCAACTCAGTAAGCCCTATCTTTAATTTACAATTTGGGAAGCTCTGAAGCAGACAAAAGAAAAAGTTGTTGTCTATTTGGGGATCATATTCAAAGCTAGATGATATTTGTTAGTCTCTCCTAATGTTTATCTTTGTTTTCGGCAAAGTAATACACTGAAATAAAGTGCCTATTTTAGAAAAGGTAATTACAGTATGGAATTTTTTTCATAGGAGAAAAAATGGTGTTAACACAAAAATTACAAATCTCCTCTGCTGCAGTCTTTTTATAAACTATTCCTGAGATTTCTTATGACCAAAGCAAAACATTTTTCTGATATTAGATTCTTGATTTTTACCTTTACTGTGCTATAAAGCAGGATTAGATTACCATTTGTACATTCACTTTGCACATTTAATCAATCTACTCAATTAAACCATATGAATTTGCTGATATTTGACTCCTGTTTTACTTACTCAAAATGGCAATTTCTATGGTTCAACCTAATAACAAAGGAGACACCTCGGCCTCCATCGTGTAAGGAACATTCCAGTATGAGTCAATTTCTGATAGACCAAAATGCCTTAATTTTGTATCATTCCCATTCAATTAATAGAGGTGGGAAATGTGATGACAGTTAAGAACACAAAATTTGGGGCACCTGGGTGGCTCAGTTGGTTGAGCGTCCTACTCTTGATTTCGGCTCAGGTTGCCATCTCAGGGTCATGAGATCATAGCCCTGCATGGGTCTCCCTGCTAGGTGCGGAGCCTGCTTAAGATTTTCTCTCTCAAAAAAAAAAGATTTTTCTCTCTCACTCTCCCGCTGCCCCTTCCCTGCCCCACCCCACACTCTCTCTAAGAAATTAAAAATTAAAATTAAAAAAAAAAGAACACAACATTTTGGAGTTTTCACTTTAAAATTAGGTGAGAAGTCTTTAGCGTTTCAGGCAGGTTTCTCTTCCCCTCCCCCACCAGTTACCCTTTTGCCACATATGCAGAACTTTGTTTATCAACTAGCAGTGTATTTATTATGATTACAGGACTGGAAGGGGAGTGGGGATTCCTTGCTAAACATCCTGCTCTCCTACTCTCTTTTCCCTGAGACAGTCTCTTTCCCATCTCCATTTACATCATGCTTTGTCTACTATTATTATAATTTCCGGAGTTTGTACAAGTCCACTTCATTTGGTCCACAGATCCAAAACACACCACCAGTGAAAATGCTGGCAACATCTGAGAAGTTTGCATTAGAGTTTTACTCCAAATGGCTGTATCTGAAAAAATATATTTATCAACTCTTCAAGTTGAGAAATAAGAGGGGATTTTCAATATGGTTAAGTAAAACAAAAAACTTCCCAGCATCAGGTATGGTATACTTGTGTTTTAAGAGGTCACAACAGCTTTTCAAATGGTTTCAGTAAGAGGAACTGGAGAGAAAGCAAGAGGGTAATAAGAATGTCTTCTTTTTTTTTCTTAACGAGGCTCTAACTTGCATAAAGGACTGAACAGATGGGCAGGTAAAGACATTCTCTCTAAACTGGCTCCGGCATTGCTTTTACCAATTGTATTTCAGGCTTTTACTCCTCTGACGCAGATGTCCATCTTTTGCATATTTAATCACTTCAGTCCTATAATATACACATGTCCAGGACTTCCAATCAAATCGTCTTTCTTTATCTAAGGAAACGGGGGACTTAAAAATCAGGCTAATTCTGTGTCTCTGCCATCAATGTAAAGAAGTAATATAATAATTATTACAGAATTACCTATCGCTTAGGTTTTTTTTTTAAACCTATTAAATTATATCAGTGACATTTCACAAAGTAAGAGAAAACAAATTAATTACATCCATCACTTATATAGCAGATTTTACAACATGACCAGAATCACATAGTCAGAATAGGCATTCCATTATTAAGTCCCTGAAGTCTATTATATGAAAACCAGTACTTTTGAGAAAAGATACAGAATGATGCTTAAACTGTTGCACAGGGTTTTTTTTTTTTTTCTTTTTCCTTTTTTTTTTTTTTTAAATTTAAATTCAAGTTAGTTACCATATAGTGTATTATTAGTTTGGGTGTTCTACAATTTTTACAGCGCTTTAGCATCCCTTCATTCACCATAACACCACCTTTATAAGAGCAAGTATTGTTATTAATATTTTATATTTATCAAATTATTGAGAGGTGGTTTGGAACTGGAACTCAGGCCTTTCTATCCTTGTCCCAGTGGTAGTCCATCTGGAATGGTCTAACATGAAATGCATTCATACGATATATTTTAATTAGAAACCATAGGATCATCAATGACTCCTTTCTTTCAAATTATCTCTAATTCTTTTCTATTCCAACTCTGCAACATCTCACAAGTTTGTCCTGTCTTCTCTGTAATACAGACTTAATTAAAGCCCTCTCACTCATCTTGCTCCAGGATCACCAAGCCTCCGCACCCCTCCCCTCCTCTGAATCTCCCATTACAATACTGCCGGAGCGATCTTTCTAAAATGCGGTTCTGACGGTGTCACTCCAATGCTTGAAAACATTTGGCAGCTTGCTACTGCCTACAGTGGTGGTTCTTAAACTGTGCACCTGGGATCTCTGTAATTCTGAGAACTGGACAGAGGTGTTTAGAGCTGCTAAAATCAAGTAACGTCAATCAGCTTAATTTGCCGGAACACAAAAATTAAGGGAAAGAGCTGCATTTGATTTTTGCCCCTATCTTTGTCCTACATATCTGTTTGCCTACTGGACACAATAAATAACAAAATATCAAAATAATGAAACAAAGCAAACCAAGATTAATTCTAAGTCAACTCTACTTCATTCAACAACTAGTTATTTTCACCCCTGTTGAGAGGTAGGGGGAAAATGTTCTTATGATTTAAATTTGATTTTATAGAAGTGTCATTTTTTTCTAATTCAAATGATAAGAACTACATATATGCTTCAATAATCTAGAACCTGACAACATCTACGGACTCTGCTTCTTGAGCCCAAAAACACTTACATATACCCCTCTGGGGGGGCTTTGGCAACTGAAGTTCTGCACTCATAGTTCACTGATATACCCATCTCATTTTATTTTACCTTTTTTTTAACGCCTGTCTCCTGAATTAGTGAATTCACTGAGCACAGAAGCAACATGCTATTCATGTTTAAATCACAGGTGCCTGACACATAGAAGTCACTCAGTAAATCCATGCTGGGAAGAATCAGTGAATTCAATTTTATAAGAGAGCAAGACTGCCAACTATGAGTTATAATTATGGAGCTTCAGAAATTTCGAGCAAAGTCGGTAAATTTTCTGTTTCCAGTATAATACATAACACATTATAAAAATAAAATAAAATAGTTTTAGAACTATTTCACTTCATGCTGCATAAAACAGCCAGGAAAGATAGTAAGTTCTATACAACATAACTCCATTAAAAGCATGTCAGTGTTGATTTTTAGGAAGTTTCTTAAAAACATACAGCACTCATAGCCATCAAGTTAAATTAAGGATCCAGTCAATCCTACAAAATTAAATTATAATTGTAAAGAATTTTTAATTCTATGACCATAAACTGGATAATAAATATTGTCTTTCCATGCCTCCCCTACAAAATAAGCTGTTTCTAGCTCAATGTACATGTTCTCCTCAAGTGAAAAAAGAATGTGGATCAATTTCTATAAATGTTAGGGCTTAGATATGAAAGTAAACAAATACCCAACAGAGTTGCAATCATTACTTCATTGTTCCCAATAAAATCTACAGAAAGAAAAACCTACTGATACTTTTCACAGTGAAACGTGTTTATTTTTTTATGTCAGAAACAGAACAAGTTTTATGAAGTTTAATATATCCTAGTATCCTCATTTTTAAAAAAAAAAAACTTTTGAGACCACAAGATATACCCCCATGAACTTGTATAACTGCAAGAGTATATCTCATGGCCAAGGAATATGAAAAGCCAGAGGCACACTTAATGTGTACGAAGGCTTATGGTTTACATTTGTATTAAGTATCTTACTTGCCTCGATCTGATTTTTATGGCCTATGGCCTGTGGCCCCTTGGTAATATGCATGGCTGCATTAAAAGTGAGCATTTTAAGATGAAATCTCAAAACACTGTACAGACGGTAAAAAAACAATGCGAAATACTTACGGCCAGCAAGCAGGAACTGATAATACTGGACTGCATCTGCAGCGAGGAGCAGAGGGTGGTTTGCATTAAATGGTGGTTGCAATTCATTCCATTGAGGAGTTCTAAGGAAACGGCAGAAGAATATTAATATTTAAGCTTAATAGATGCGATGTAAATCACCATCACTGTCACCACTTATAGACACTGATATAAACTCACACTATCTTTGTAATCATTAAAGTGAATTTGTTAGAAGTGCTGAAACCTGAAATACAAGGCCATCTGATTAAAAAGAATAAAAAAAAGGTGGCAGTGAGTCATACAATTACATACAGCTGATACTAGTTTAATAGCAGAAGACCTTCCAATAGGATAGATAAGACATTCAAAGCACTGGACAGAGAGGAAGTGTGGAATTCAATGTCACAACTAAGTAGCTCTAATTTTACCTAATTTCGGACAACTGTTGGAGCTCACTACTCTCAGAATATGTGTATATTTTAAAATAAAATAAAGCAGGTAAAAGTGCTTTTAAAAAAACCCACACGGTGGGTTTTTTTCAGATCCAAAGAGACAGAAAGTAAATTAATGGCTGACTTATTACAGAACTAATTAGAATGTGAGCTCCAAAATAAGCCATTTATTTCAACAATGATGGTGCAGTAATTTTAATTAGATCTGCCTGTTCCTAAATAGCTTGATAAATAAGATATTGATCAGATCAATCTAGGCCAGTAAAGTAGTAGTAAAGAATGCTGGAGCCTCCAAAAATCAATATAAGAATATTTTAAAATGTCAAAAGGAGAGGGATCATTTTCATATCCATTTCTGTCTGTTTCCTTCCATACTTGTCAGGATGAATTTTTCTCTGCCTCTTCTGTACACTTGTGTTGAACAGGTTGTATTCCAGATTTTATTTCTCTCTCTTGATACTTGCTTATAAAGATTCTAATGATCATGTACTTTTGAGAAGGACTCTGATTCTTAATAAACACTTCTACAGTGTTTAGCCATTATATCTTGGGGAAACCTTCCAATCAATTTATATTCCTTTCCAATCCCCTTAATGGCTATTCCAATGTACTCTCTATTCTCAGTGAACATGAGACTGGAAATAGAGGAAGCACTAAAGCTCTATATGTGGATAGGAAAAAACCCCAAGTTCTGGAAAATGTAATACAAAGATGCAAGGACAAGGTAATTCAAAAGGAGGCATAAGGCAAAGACAACTGAAAACATGATCACACAAAAATTTGTACATGAATGCTGTTAGCAGCATAATTCATGACAGCTAAAAAGTGGAACTGTCATCTACTGATGGATAAACAAAATGAATAAACAAATGGACACAAAACATGGTATATCCATGCAGTGGACTATTATTTGGCCATAAAAAGGAATGAACTTCTGATACATGTTACAATATGGATGGACCTTGAAAACATTATGTTAACTGAAGAAAATCAGATGCAAAAGGTCATATTTTGTATGATTCCATTCATACAGAATGTCCACAGTAGGCAGATCAGATCCAAAGAGACAGAAAGTAAATTATGGTCACCTGGGGCTGAAGGGTTTGGTGAAAATGGAGAGAGACTGCTGATGTGTATAGAGTTTCTTTTGAGGGTGATGAAAATGAGTGTGGTGATGGGTGTACAACCTACCGAAAATTCACTTTAGATGGGTGAACTGTATTACATGTAAATTATATCTCAAAAAAGGAATTACTGATACATGCAATAACAGGGATGAATCAAAATAATTTTGCTGGGTGGAAAGAAGCAAGACAAAAAAAAGAGCACACACACTATGATTCCATTTATATAAAATTCTAGAAACTATAAACTGATCTCTAATGACAGAGCAGTGGTTGCCTGGGGCTCAGTGGGTGAGGCAGGGATAAAGAAGGGCAGGAGGGAGAGACTACAAAGAGGCACAAGAAAACATTTGGGGGTGATGGATATACTTGTAATGTTAATCACAGTGATGGTTTCACAGCTGTATACAGATGTCAAACTTGATCAAATTGTACATTTTCAATATTTTACACTTCAGTAAAGCTGCCAAAAACAATGGAAGGAGGTCCTACCTAACCAGAGTCCAGCTGGCTCGAGGTGAGGTCATCACTTCCAGTGGGGTGTCATCACTAATCTTGGGGGCAGTGCTGAGCGGCCGTGGCTCCATCATGTGCTCCACTAAGGTCCCATAGCAACTGATAATGTAGAGAGACTCAACTACAACTTGTTTGGACTGATCTGCAAACAGAGAAACAGATCCTGGTTGTGGGATAATGGCATAAAAGGAGAGAGAAAATACAGCAGGAAATGTTTCACATGGTGCCTGCTCCCTGCCTCAAGGTTGCTTCTTAGAAGTGGACGCTAATGAATATGAGAATCTCTGTGCTATCAAACTATGTTTAAATCTTAAGCAATTTATTTCAAAAATGATGAAAATATCCTCAAAATTCTAATACAGTGAAACAATATTTCACAGCCTTTTGTATTTTTCTGCCATATAATTTGTTCCCCATTACAAAAAAATGAATGATAGCAGGTGGGACAGGGAAGGACTGACTGGAAAGGAACATCGTATGGACTAAGATGTAGTTACATGGGAGGTACCAATTCAACCGCACGAGAGGCTCCCTGGTGCTTACATCAGCTTAACTTCTCTACTTTCTCTCAGAAAACTTTATTTTTTTTTAAAGATTGATTTATTTGAGAGGGGGAGGGGCAGAGGGAGAGGGAAGGAAAGAATCTCTGGCTGACTCCCAGCTGAGCAAGGATCCCGGCACAGGGCTCGATCTCATGACCCTGAGATCATGACCGGAGCCAAAATCAGGAGTCAGACACTTAACTAACTGAGCTACCCAGGCATCCCAAACTTTGTTTTTTAAAATCTGGATTAAAACAAATAAATGAAAAACACGCACATCCTCCTCCCCCAAATCCTCTTTCTTCTCTCTTCTCCATGAATCACGGGCCTCTACGTAAACGAAGACCAATCATACTTTAAGGTCAGGTGCTGAATATGGATCTAATCAAATGACTTTATAAGGAAGTACACATGTCCTCACTACTAAAACAGGTTTAGTCCTGTATCTTGGGTTTTACAGTAAACCTAGGAGCATATAAAATCACTCATGAATGCTGGGTGGGTCACCTTATCTCCATGCCAGAGGAATCAATTACAGCCGATTTGAGAAAATGGCTAACGACCAGTCAGCGGGACATAAAGGAGTAGTAAGTTAAAAGGGTAATTAGAACAGAAGGGAGAAGCATTTGAAATTGAGCTTCACAGAGGGTTTTAACTAGTAACAAAAAGTCACTTTGATAGCATCATTAAAACTAAAGAGGTAACAAAAAAATAGAGATGGGATAAGAAAATGGAAGGCTTGCATACTTTACTGTATCCTCTCCCACTTAGACAAGGAACCTGCTGTGCCTGAGATCCTATTTCCAAGGAAAGGGTCACAGAAAGGCGATAACTAGGGAGAGGGCTGATGTCTGACTGCCAGTACTGAGCGTAAAGCAGGGCCATTTTGCCAAGAACAATACAGCCTGTGGAGCTGGGCAGAGAAGTGCCTCACTAACAACTCAGTTTGTGACCTACTTTAATAGTGCTGAAATAATAAGGGCACAATCTTAACATTCAGATTTAAATACCCGGTTCACGAATGCAGGCATTCCTCTGCACACAAAAAATAAGGAGTAACATACTAAAGCAGTAATTACATAAAAATTTTAGGTATTGGGACGCCTGGGTGGCTCAGTCATTAAGTATCTGCCTTCAGCTCGGGTCATGATCCCGGGGTCCTGGGATCGAGCCCCGCATCGGGCTCCCTGCTCGGCGGGAGGCCTGCTTCTCTCTCTCCCTCTGCCGCTCCCCCTGCTTGTGCGCTCTCACTCTCTCTGTCAAGTAAATGAACAAAATCTTTAAAAAAAAAAAATTTTAGGTATTAATCTTGGCTATCAAAGCAGGGATTTAAAAAAAAACACAATTCTATAAACTCAAAGGAGCAATGGTTACCATAAAAGATGACTCTTAAGGGCGCCTGGGTGGCTCAGTGGGTTGAGCGTCTGACCCTTGATTTTGGCTTAGGTCATGACCTCAGGGTCATGGGATCGATCTCCATGTCAGGCTCCGTGCTCAGTGTGGAGTCTGCTTGAGATTTTCTCTTTCCCGCTCCCTCTGCCTCTCCCCTCGCTTTTGCACGTGCTCTCTCTCAAATAAATAAATAAATCTTTAAAAAAAAAAAAGATGACTCATTTCTGAGCAGGAGCCTGTTTTTATCTTTTAACTTATAATATGGCAAAGTTGTTGGTGGTGGTTTTTTGTCTGTTTGTTTTTTAAAGTCAAGATGGAGCTTTAGAAAACCTGGATTAAAACTCGGATACCATCACTTCCTAACTGGTGCTTTTAGCTAAGATATTCAAACTCGTTGATCTCAAGCTCCTTGTCTCTAAAGTAGGGATAACAGGGTTTTCTTCCCCACACCTGAGAGGCAATGGCATGGAATTAGCTTGTCAAAAATGTAAAAATGTAGAATGGTATGGCATTAACAATGTTGAGGACACTGGTAGATTGTCTCCAGCAAAACAAAATACAAATATTCAGATGGGCAATTTATTTCACATTTATAGTGAGAGGATAGCCTTTCTCCTTAATGAGGCTTGAGTAGTTGAGGAGAGACATGCTAACTGAATGGAAAAATGGGTTCAGAGAATACGGGGTTCAAGATTATTCAAGAAGAACCACTACAAATTTCCCTCAAGAAACAAAAATTACAAGTGGCAAGTTTAAGCTTCAGTAAGCTCCATACCTTTTTCTCTTTTCAGACCTGCATTATTTGCAAACCACGATCTGGATGTCCCGAACACTGCAGCCACACAAAATTCTCCGCCCATCGATTTGCTGGGTGAAATTTGTGGAGGTGGTTTAACTTTGCTTAAAAAATAAAATGATAGTAAAAAAAAAATTACCATGATGGAATCACAGACCTCAATATAGTGACATTATTTTCTTTAAAATTCCACCCCAAAGTATTCAAACCCTCCATTGTGGACATGCATTTTGCCTTAAGTAATAACTGGTGGTGTGAGACTGTGTTCTGCAGTAAAAGTAAAATTAGTGCAGAATTCCAGAGTATTATCACAACAGTAACATATAAAAACAACAAAAATTAACCCCTTTTTGAAGTATATGTTGGTGAAATCCAAGTCACTTCCTTTCAGATGGATAACATTTCTCTGGAGATTTTAAAGTGGAAGAATAGAACCAGGCTAAGTATCTCACAATAATAAAATCGTTTATCATTTCATTTTGATATATAAGATGTGGGATTGACAGGACAGTTGAATGGAGACGGCACGTATGAAACTGACAAGATGATATAGGATGAAAATATGAAAATGACAAGAAGATACAGAACGAAACCCTGTGAATGTTTCAGCCACAAAGCTACATAGTTAGATAATGTATGGGGAGAAGATCGAATGCTCTAATGCAATTATATTCACCAATCCATTTGTTTATTTTTTCTTCATGGGTTTGTGAAAATGATGTGTCTATTTCTGTTCTGTTCTTCACACGTTTGAGGATGCCTTAAGTCACTGATGTAACTCCCATAAAAAAGTATCTGCTTTCCTGTTTGTTTTCTCCAAATTAGCTTTTATACCATGAACTTCTAATATCAACCTTTCATCTTCTGTGAAATTCTATTATTTCTCTTCTCTTTTGATTTGGCAAAGGCTTCCCCAGTGCTCACTGGCAATTCTGCTGACCACCTCAGATAAATGGTAGTAGTTCACACACCAGAAAACAGCCTCACTGCATCCTGGTCGAGATCACAGCCCCTCTGGACACCAGAGCTCTGATGTTCCTACTCTGCTAGTCAGTCCCCAATGTCAAATGACATTATTTCTACCTTCTTTTGTTCACTGTCCTTTATCTCTTTATCTGATAATAAAGTATGATTAGGTGGAGAAAGATTGGGTTTGGGAGCCAGGAAGAAACCTCCATGCTGCCACTTCTTAGCTGTGTGACTTATTTAACTTCTCAAAGCTCAGACTGCTAATATGTAAAATAAAAATAGTAATGCCTACTTCATGGGGTTATTTTAAGCATTATTTGTTATTTGTTTTTGTTATATTTGTTATTATTTGTTATTTGTTCTCTAAGTGTGCTCCCTGGCTAGAAGTATCACCTGAGAACTTCTTAGATAGACAAATACTCATCAAGCCGCACCCCAAACTCTGGGGGCGGGGCCTAATAATCTGTGCTTTGTTTTAGTTTAAGTAATTTTTTTTTTTTTTTTAACCCTCCAGGAGATTCTGGTACATGCTCAGGTTTAAGAACCACTGTATTGGGAAAGTGCATAAAGCAATCAAGGCAGTGCCTTCCCATATTCATGGTACTCAATAGGGTTAACTGTCTTCTGTATGGCACACCGCCTTCACCTAATTTTCCAAAGCATCAAACTATGATTTGGTAATCTCAGTTTCCAGGTCCTTATGACACCTGAAATAGTCTTCCACATACTTTATTTCCCCAGCCTTCTGCTCTGACATCTTCCTGCTTGGGAAAGCAAAAAGTTCGGGTCAGAGGCCACTGTGATTGGTCTTTTTGGCTCTCCCTTTGTGCCAAATCTATGGTAATGCACATTGCCATATATGAAAAGGCCTCTTCTTTCCATCATTAACATTTCTTAACCACTTCACATCATTACTCATAAAAACCACACCCCTGCCTAACATATCAACACCAGTCACAGTCAGACTTCCACTGACAGGGAATAAAGACGTAGTTTTTAGAAAAAAGATTCTGTGAGGAAATGAATCCGGTTCTACAAATAGTTTCACATCTTCCTGGTTGCATCTGCCACAACTACAATAACCTACCAACAGGGAAGAAGACTCCCCCACCCTGACCCCACCTACCCCAGAACAAACACACACCTTTCCTCGCCATCAGATTATCCTTCCCGGTTATGATGCTCTACGTTGTAATACCTTCGAGTGTAAATTCTCCTTCAAAGCCTTTATTTCTATCACTGAACTGCTATCACTGAGCTAGTAAGTTCCTATAACTATCATCTTTTAGTTCCTTTGGTCATTTTTAACACTTAGGAGTTTGGGGAGTTGGAGAGAGAAGGAGAGAAAAAGCCATTCTAGAATTTGTTGAAAGGTGTTTCCAATTATGTAACTATATGTTTTTACTAGAATCACCATCAGGGAACAATAATACTACAATGTACAAATAAGCTTCACAGGGACAAATTCAAAGCTCTTTGCAAATTACTGAATGCTATTTTTGTTTTTGTTTTTTTAAGGCATGTGGTAAGCAACAAGAGAGAAAACAAGTGGGTATGACACTTCTTCCGAGAGACTATGGCACATACAGTGTGCCTCCTGAACAGACTTGAAAAACAGTTGCTATCAGGCAAGATAGTTACCTTGATAACACAGTAATAAAGAGTAGAAATATGGTAAGAAACCAATTTAGTCTTTGACCATGCAAAAATATATTCTGTGTTTATTAGCTTCTAGTCTAATCAGTCAATGTCAAAAGCTAAAACCTCTTACACTTCCATAACATGACACATAACTCAGCTTCTGAACACACAACTAAAAAGCATCAACACGGGCGCCTTGGTGGCTCAGTCGGTTGAGCGACTGCCTTCGGCTCAGGTCATGATCCCAGGGTCCTGGGATCGAGCCCCGCATCAGGCTCCCTGCTCGGCGGAGAGCCTGCTTCTCCCTCCCCCTCTCCCCCTGCTTGTGTTCCCTCTCTCACTGTGTCTCTCTCTGTCAAATAAATAAATAAAATCTTAAAAAAAAAAAAAGCATCAACACAGTATTATTTTACGCAGACTCATTATCTCCTGCAGAGAATAAGTATCTTATGATAAAAGTATGCTTAAAATTATGTAAAGAATGATCATTTTCATTTTTATACATTATTTCTTCTTTTTCCTCTGATGGGGCCTCAATGAATCACATTAATACAAGTTTGTGCTTAGTAAGTGATTTAAAAGGTTTTCATCCCTTAAGCGCCTGGGTAGCTTAGTCGGTTAAGCGTCCTACTCTTGATTTCAGCTCAGGTCATGATCTCAGGGATATGAGATCGAGCCCCACATCGGCTCTGTGCTGGGCATGGAGCCTGCTTAGGATTCTCTCTCTCCCTCTCTCCCTCTCTCCCCACCCCCCACCAAAAGAGTTTTCATCCCTGAGAATAACTTATCTCCTACATGGTGCAGTGCTGTGTACCGGGGAGGGAGAATATGTGAACATATTCCTAGCAAGTCATTTCTACCATCAATCTACATTTGGAATGACTTTTCACAAAACAGAGTATAAAGATATGTGTCTAGAAGACTTTCAGAAAAATTAAAAGGAGAAATAATCTAAAGAAAAGATTACTACTAATTAAGTATTTCTACCCAAGGGGAGAAAAATTTCACTTTGACTCACTTTGCCCTTTATCCTAAGTTTTAAAAAGACTAACGAGGAATTTGGAATGGAGGCAGAATTGAACTTTTCCAAAATGACTCAGAATATTTCTATTGCAAAATAACCTTTTGTTGGCAAAAAAATAAAACACTGAAAAATGATACATATGTGGAAGGAACAAAAGATAAAAGTACTAGCCTTGTAAATCATGTTCACTTCTATACCGGTGACCCAATCATTTTAGGAAAGCATTCCAAAACTACCTTTTTTTTTTTCTTTCTTCCTCTCAATATCTCCCTTTATCCTCCAAAAGGGGCTTAATAAATCCCATTACAAAACATTTGCAAGTTTAAAAAAGAATACCTCTGGGTGTTTGGAGGCCTTCCCGCATTTATTAATTTATTAAATAGTCTGATGTAAAAAATAAAATTTCAATGTATATGGAGCCCAGGAATTCAATTGTGTTGATCATGGTTTTCAAGAAGAACAAAACAAACTGATGGAGCTGATGGACTCCTTTCTACTGGGAACTTCTGCTTCTTACCCCCCTGAGCCCATCATTTAATAAATAGCCTCATGTTCAAAAAGGAAAAGTAAAATTTGGCTTAACTTATGAGCAGTGTGTAAAAGAAAAATGGAATGAATTCAACTTTCACCCTATCGGGCAAAATAATAATCATAAAATATCATATTTACTAAACTTGATACAAGAGAACTACATAATAAAAAGTAAAACAAACATACAAAGAAACAAACAAACAAATAAAAACAAAACAGGGGCGCCTGGGTGGCTCAGATGGTTAAGCGTCTGCCTTCGGCTCCGGTAGTGCATGATCCCAGGATGATCCCAGGGTCCTGGGATCAAGCCCCACATCCGGCTCCTGGCTCAGCGGGGAGCCTGCTTCTCCGTCTCCCTCTGCCTCTCCCCCTCCCCCTGCTCGTGCCCTCTCTCTCTCTATCTCTGTGTCTCAAATGAATAAATAAAATCTTTAAAAAAAAAAAATAAGGTACTAAATTAAAACTCAGGAGTTTCACTCTTTTTCACTCCTTTTGGGAGACTTAATCATCTAACTATAGCATGAGAATCATTTTCACTGCCATCAGAAGTTCTGGGGATGTTAACATTATGACGTCTTTCAAAATACTTACAAAGACTATTGAAGTTAACCATTGGCTTTTACTGTATTATGTAATCCAGTCAGATTAACATATTGAATTTCTCTTGCCTTTTTTTCTCTCCACCCTACTGCAAAGAGGAAAAAAAGCAAAACTCTAATAATATCTGCTTTAAAATTACAGAAAAATTATGTCCATCTGGGTAAATCTACTATGTCCCACAGAATAGGACGTGAGTGGGGTATCTGTGCAAGGCATGAAAAGCAGCAATGAGGTCCATTGCCTTGTTTAGAAGGACACAAGCATGGAAAGAGCTAAACTGAGATAGAAGCAGCGTTTCTTTCATTTTCCACTTTAAATGTTAGACACCATATTGCTGTAAGAATTACAAGTGGTGTAATATCTTTGTGTATAAGAAAAAAAATCTTTTCTTGATATTCCTCACTGTGATTGAGCTTTTAAAAGGAATTTAGAAGTTTTCTCTCACTCTCAACTTTATTTTTCTAAGAGAAGAACTAAGAGGGAAACTGAAAGTATTTTATTTTAAATAAAGATATTAATAATATACCTAAAATTATTCTATCACAAATTATTCTTAAAGACCTAACAGATTTATATAAACTTTACAAATAAGATTCTCCTCTTTATATAAATCTTTTCTTTCAAAAATGAATTTATAATATTTTAAATATTCTCAAAAGAACAAGATTAGTTTAAATGAACTATTTACATATAAACTGAATGGTCTCAGCACTAATTAAAACTTTAATTATAACTTGAAATGTAAGTTTTAATTCTTATTTAAGATTAACCTTATGTAATACAAACACAGGTTATAAGCATGGGATATATTCAAATGGGCTACTTTTGTCTACACTATTATGTATATATTTTTTCTTTTGATAAGCAATTAAAAAATAACAGCAGTTTAAACATAATACTACATGTACATTGGGAGCTCAATAAATACTTATTACTTATTTGTAATACTGAAAGCAAAATCAATCTTAAAAAATTCACAATGGCTATTTCTCTTAAAATTTCTATATTAAAAAAGTATTATATGTGTGATTCTATTACAATATTTTAAACAGTCATTCAAACTCAAATATCCTGGAGGAGGCATAATCCCCAGAGTGTATAAAATGGCTACAATGTCGAAGACGGTCTGAATAACTTTCCAACAAGCTTATTTTGTTATCAAAAGGAAAGACATTATTTTAAACTGACTCACTGCAACTGCATGAATTTAAACAAACTAGTTTATCAAAGAATGAAGAATTAGTCGAAACTGTGATCTACCAAAAGCAAAATCTTAGCTAAATACAAAGGTTGTAACTTGAAAGTAATAAAAAAAAAATTGTATGCAATGTCCATTACATTTGAAGAGGAACTGTAAAAATGTCATATTCTTCCAAAATACAAATATAACCCTGCAACTGGAAATACTATAAACATATTTATTTGGCATAATGTTTTATTTCGCAAGGGTGAATAAAAACATTCTCAGGTTGAATGCTAAATATCATGGAAAAACAGCAAAAACTGTTAAAACAAAGAAGCTCTTATAAACAGGCTAGGAGAAGTTGTCAAATTTATATCCATTTTGCTGCCCTAATTTGAGGTTTCATTAAGATCTTAATGGGAAAAACATGCACCACTAGTAAAGGCACGTATTTTAAAGGAGGATCTTGTAGGCTAGTGTAAGTGACTAAAAACGAGTTTCTTGCGAGCTAACGATGGCTTCGAACAGACCACAAAGCAGTCTCCTAAAAGACAGGCAATGATGTAAAAGTCTACTGTAGTTCATATATCCCTTTCTTTAATCTGGCTCTTTTAATCTTGTTTCAACCTCAAATCATTTCTGGCTGACAAGTGCTTCTGCTTAAATTTGAGGAGCACATAAGCTGTTGAAGGAATGGAGTTTTCTGATTTAACATACAACATTTGTTACTCCATCTTTACTTCTATGCTAAAACTTCAATCTCTATTAACATACTAAAACTCTTCCCTTTGTACTCAGAGAATGAGAAATTTATCCTAAGATGGAATATAATTCTAAGTTTAGTCTACAAAGAAATTTTGTCGGATGTTGAATCTGGCATTTAAAAACTGACTGCTCATCTAAGCCTCTGAGTAAGATCCATGTATCTTGTTTGTTTGGGGAAGAAACCTGGTTAACAAAAAGAATAAAGATTGACTTGCGTGGAACTTTTCCTCATTTATACCCTGAATTTCTTTAGAATAGTTTCACAATCTGTGTCCTAATTTTGAGGCTAGTTTCAAGGAGGAGGTTTTTATGATTGGTCGCCCTATTCTTATATGATAATGAAATTTTCAGATGTTCCTGTGGCAGATGACCACTGAAATTAGTTTGCATCAAATTATAGTGTACCTTCAAGAACTATTTCAGTTTCTTTCTGTCTAGGAGAAAAACGGTTGGAAGGTTTTTTTTTCTAGGATAATGGGACAGTATGAACAATTCCCAGTAGCACTTATGAGAACTACACACACACATGTGCAGAACTCTTTTAAGTATTCTGACTACATTTATAAAATTGATATACTTTACATTCCCCCAAATTTCCTTTTGGCTCACTTAACTCTTAAAAGTAAAAAAAAAAAAAGAAAGAAAGAAAGAAAGAAAAGATCTCATTTAAAGAAGCTTCTTTTCAAAAATGGTATTTTTCCCTTAAAAGAGTAATAGCAGAAGCATCTAATATTTACTGAGCTCTTACTATGTGCCAGGCACTGTTCTAAGCACTATATTGTCAGTTCATTTCATCCTCACAATGAACCTACGCCGTAGGTGCTACTGGTAACTCCATCTAATAGAAAAGGAAACCAAGAAGCAGAAAGGGTTTAGAAAATTACACAAGATCATATAGGGAGGGAGTGTGTGAACTGGGGTTTAGGACCTTGATGGTCTGATTCTGGAGACCTGACTCTTAGCCATATGTTAAACATACCAGCTCCTAAATACATTCTACTTCACATCTTTACATAAAAGTATTAAATATGCTCTATTTCTTTTCCACGACCATCATGTCTAAGACTGACAAAATTGTATTTTATGCATTGTAATATAAGAATTTACTAAATAAATAAGTTATGGTGAACAGGTGTCAATAACTCAAAATAATAAATTATTCAGGAGTTCTTATGTGAAACACAAATTTCCTCATCATGTAGATCTTTAAATACCTAAACTCTTCAAAACAGAACTAACTCTATTCCTTTGGTACCAAATAAAGTGCAGTAAAAATTTATAGGGTATTTTTAGTAGACCTTAAATATATTTATATTTCAAAATAAATCATATCTTTGAATGTTCAGCACAATGTGTAGGGAGCTTCTCTCACTATCATACTCAAAGCTTTAAATTTGGGTGTTAGCCTTGTCTTACACACTAGCATTATGAGAGAATCCTTCTAACTTCTTGTTTTTAAATATTAATCTGTGATTTCTTTTTTACCTGACTCTTCAAGAAATGAAGTGAAACCAAAAAACCTGCTCTTTTAAAGCTTAAATATCAACATTCATGTCCCATTCTACAAATTATTCAGTAATCTGGTGCATCTATCTGAGATCAGGCCATGCAACTGAAAACAAAAGTACAAAACAGAGTTACTTTCTGAGAGTACAGCAAATGAATTAGGCATGCGGGACTGAACTGGGACTCACCATGGAGCTTTTATGGAAAAACACCCCGCTCCAAACAGATAAGGCCTTCATGGAAAAGGGGGGAAAATGCACAAAAAATTAGAGGAAAACTCATTTCACATTAACAAATACATGTATATCATACTGTTATAGAGTATGGATAAAATAACTGAAAAAATAAGTAATCACTTGCAATTCTACTGTAGATACTAACGAGTCTGATATAACCAATAAACAGAATGACGTGAAATAACAAGTCCCTTAATTTTCATAGGATTAGCAATTTCAAATGGTCTATTTCTCCCCCTTTTCTGGAGTCCCCCTGTAGGGTTTCTAAAGTAAAATAAAATAAACTTCACTTCAGAGGCCCTTAAAACAAAGTACAGGTTAAATGGAATAATCAAATGGAGAAAAGGGTGGGATCAGTAGCAACAGATGTGTGGTTGTAGGACACAAAATGTTTAAAATCAGCTAGAGAGAACACAATAAAAAGTTTGATAAGCATTATTCGCTCTTCATCGGTTGCAGCCTCAGAGCCACAGAGAGAAAGCAAGTCTTTTCCAAGCTACTTATGTAAAGTATGTTGAACTGTGTATTGCTGGCCAAAGGAATAAACACTAAATAAAAGTAGTATGATTTATTTCCATGTAGGGTTGCATTCCCAAAAGTGAGCATTTCTCTTAATAGTGATAGAGGTTGGCTTCTTCCACCTGGCCTGCTTTGGGCTAGGTTGGAATACCGGAAATGACAGCCACAATTGCTTATTTTAAATACAACTGGGGATGCAAAGTCAGACTTCATGGTACACATATTTCTTATTAATATTCTGTTCACAGCCATTTCAGACATGCTATGCATACTTGCACACAAAGAAGATGGGCTGATTTAATTGTATCCAAAACCAAATGTTGCTGTAGCATCTGACATGTGGAGGTGAGACACAGATTGAGAAGGAAAGCACACTGGCAAAACCTGGATATTTTCTTCTTTAACTTTGGGGCTAAAAACACCTTAAAAATAAAAATTCCTGCTAAGTGATTAGCTTTCGTCTGCCAGTGGATTGAGTTTCACAAACGGAAACTTGGGTAAAAGGTTTTCACAACACTGAGCACAATTCTCAGGATTGGTGCACAGAAGAAACAAAGCAGGGAACAGAGAGGGAAGAGATACTAATTAGAGAAGAGTGAGTCGGAAGAACTGAGACACTGAAGAAAAAAGAAAAGAAACTTCAGGAATGGTGTCAATGCAAAGCAAAGAAATCTCTCTTGTAGTTAATACGACCACAACCAAAGATAGGACGTCATTATCCACATTGAAACAGTGGATGTTCAAACTTTTTTAATCACGACCCAGAGAAATACATTTTAAGGTGCAAGCTGGTGTATACATGAACATACATAAATTGAAACAATAATTCAATGAATGTGGCTTTTGTCTGTCATCAACTTTACTATTTTCTATTTCAATGTATTATAAACATTAATGCTGGGATTTTGTTACAATGAAGATCATGCATACTCTGGCGGGGTAGGTCTGAGCAGGGCCTGAGATTCTGTATTTCTAAGAAGCTCCTATCTCATGCTAAAGCTGCTTGTTTGCAGAACCAATAACAAAACTGCATTTCATTTTATTCTATTTCATTAATGAAAAAAAAGACACAATCCCCTTATCTGATTTCATGATTCACAAATCATACTGGAAACAAAGTGTTACTGGGAGCTCACGCTGCACTCTGACGAACACTGATTTAGATAACTGAGACCACTCAAAGACCCCAATCTCAGTAACACTGTAATGCCATGCAGAAAGGATCAGAAAATGGAAGCTTCTGTATGTTTTCATATGCCCACAAATGTTTCTGAAATGAAGAGGCTATTGTTGCCAGACAGTACCCAACTTCCTTTAAGTTTCTTCATTAGGCAGGGCCCACAAAATAGTCAAACAGTTCAAATGATTCTGACACAGGCGCTGACCATCTGGAACATCTAGACATGAGTGGCTCTTCAGTGTATATTATGTCAACACTGAACAGTCTCCCATCTCATTCCGAACATCAGACTACAGCTAATTTGTTGCAAAACATTTGGAAGTTTTATCTTCATCCTTTATGCCTTAAAAGGCTTCTCTACCGACCTCCCGAACCAACCAAACAAAAATGAAACAAAACCTTAAAGTTTCTACATTTCAAAAGACCAGCTGATGTTCCCTACCTACAGAGCCAGTAAATACCCTTTTCTAGGTTAAGGTTTCCTTATGTCTCAAAAGGAAACATGCATTTGCCAAACAAATTAAACACAAGCTTAAAAAAAATAATAATAAAATCTCCTAGATCTTCCTTTCTAGGCAATGGCAGTTGGTGTTATCAACGAAAGATTTAAACAGCCATTTCCTTCCCCACAATCCTAAAATGTACGGTTAACTCTCCAAACACTGTAGTAAACAGGCCTGCGCTAAGCAGCCTTGTCAGATTTAAAGACAATACAGTTCTCACTGTTCACAACCAAACCCAATGGTGTGAGTTAAAAGTAACCCTTCTTCAATCAAATAAGGATCAACTGGCTAACACAGCTCAAGGAGAAAACAGAGGGCTGGGAGAGACTGAATGAGGACCCGCTTTAGTATAGGCTTGGCATGTTCCCAATCTCCACTTACCCACTTCTTGGCCACCCCTACAAACTGGACCTCTGCCACATCCATGTAAAGGAAGAGCCACAAACTCCAAAGAAGTAGAGTGACTGACGTAATTACGGACTCTGTATGGGCAGTGTCAGCTGTTCTTTTGAAATGTGCCTGCTTCATCTTTCCTCAGTAGCAAAAGAATGCAAATATAAAGTCACAAAGGACAGGCTCATGATCCAGCTGTCTTCACCTATGACTTCCTTTCCCTCTTTAAAATCCCACAGTTGTAGTTTTATATGAGGGTAGTTAGAAGGAGGAAGACAGTATGTGAGTGGGGGTGTATGTTGAATTAAAACGGTCTGTATTAACATATGCAACTCCAATTAGATGTTTGGATATTAAGAATTTCTGTGTTTTCTAAGCACTATTAAGTTTCAGCAGGTTTAACAAGCCTGCCACACAAAACCTATTCACTCTGCCACAATTATATCCTTTTTGAGCTGAATTCTGATTGAAAAACATCAGGACTGGCCAAGAGATTAAAAATCCAGAAATATTTTTTATAGACTTATTTATAGCGCAACGTGAAACGACTTGACCATTAGTTCTCAACGGATTTCTTCTGGAGATTCTCAGAAGACAAGAAGGAATTGTGTTTTATATCATAACAGTAATGCCATGTAAGTTTTTAAATGCTGATTCATTTTGTTGAATGCCACATAATACCACAAAAGCTTTGTTCTTACTAGCTGAAAGGAAAGCAAACGTGAAGATTTTTTAAATGCAAGGGAAAAGTAAAACTTGATTTGATTTTGAACGCACTGAAGTCTTCTATAACCTGACCCTAGTGCTAAAAGGTATAAATGATTAGGTTCAATCATCTTTAGAGTTAAAGAATTAGTTGGAGTCTAAGAGAAAAATTCTATGAACATACTCTGAAAGTCCTATTTTTCAACTAATCATGTCTTATGAGAATTCAGGTATTATCACATAACAAACATCGGAATGAGCCCATATTTACTATGAACAACTATATACCAACAAACTGGACAATCTAGATGAAAAGGAAAAAATTCTTAGAAATACAACTTACCAAGACTGAATAACAAAGAAATAGAAAATCTAAATAGAACAATTATTAGTACGGATACTGGATCAGTAATCAAAAATCCCCCAATGAAGAAAAGCTAAGGATGAGATGGCTTCACTGGCTTCACTGGCAAATTTTACCAAACTTTTAAAGAATTAACACCAATCCTTAAACTCTTCCAAAAAATCAGAGGATGGAACACTCCCAAACTCATTTTGTGAGGCCAGCATAATCCTGATACCAAAACCAGAAAATGACACCACTAGAAAAGAAAACTACAGGCCAGTATCCCTAATGAATATAAGATGGAAAAATTCTCAAGAAAGCACTAGCAAACCAAATTCAGCAGCACATTAGAAAGGATCATTCACAATGCTCAAGTGAGATTCATCCTGGGGATCCAAGGATGGCTCAACATAATACAAATCAATCAGTATGATACATCACATTAGTAGAATGAAAAAAAAAATCATCTGATCATCTAACTGACACAGGAGAAGCATTTGACAAAATTCAACATCCATTCATGATTAAAAACTCGTAACAAATTAGGCACAATTAAGGAACATATCTCAACATACTAAAGGCAAGCATAGCTAACATCATACTCAATGGAGAAAGGTTGAAAGCTTTTCCTCTAAGATCAGGAACAAGACAATGGCACCCACTCGTACCACTCTTTTTCAATATAGTAATGGAAGTCCTAGCTAGAGCAATCAGGAAAGAAAAGAAAAGAAAATGTATCAGAGTTGGAAAGAAAAGAAGTAAAACTGTCTCTGTTTGCAGATGACATAACTTTATAGAAAATCCTAAAGACTCAACCAAAAAACTGTTAGATCTAATCCATGAATTCAGTAAGTTACAGGATATAAAATTAACATACAAAAATCAGTAGTGTTTCTATACACTAACAACAAATTTTCTGAAAAAGAAACAAGGGAATCAATCCCATTTACAATAGCATCAAAAACAATAAAACACTTCGGAATAAATATAACTAACAAGATGAAAGATCTCTACTCTGAAAACTATAAGACACTGATGAATGAAATCAAAGAACAACACAAATAAATGGAAAGGGATCCTGTGGTCGTGGATTTTAAGAATTAATGTTAAAATGTCAATACTACCAAAAGCTATCTATAGATTTGATGCAATCCCTATCAAGATTCCCCAGGCATTTTTTACAGAAGTAGAAAAAAACTTCCCTAAAATTTATATGGAATCACAAAAGACCCCAAATAGCCAAAGAAATCCTAAAAAAGAACAAAAGCAAGAGGCATTGTATTTCCTGATTTCAAGTTAACTATAAAGCTATAGTCATCAAAACAGTATGGAGTTGGCATAAAAACAAATA